ACGTTTCATATATCTGCCTATAACCTGTTATATAACTTCACAACATTACAGATAGGAAGGAAGTGGCCACTGATCTACGAGGTACTATTTGACGAAGAGTTTCTTGGTGGTCTCACGCTGCGATGCACCCCAAATCGAGCCTACTGGCTCCCCCTCCTGTCTCCTCAACCTCAGTCATGGATGAGGCTGAAGGCCGAGAAAAACGCCCCCAACGCAAGGAGTGTGGTGGCCCGAGGGCCAGATTTTAACATAGGGGTCGTATTCGTGTGGTTGTGGGTGGGTCTCCGTCATTTTACGGGCGGGATTATCCTGATGGGCACACTCCTGTGCATCGTCACCATGGGAACTATCACCAGCAACAGTTCAATGGACCGGTGAGCTACGAATACATGTAATTTTTTCCGTTAAAAACTGGTGCAAAATACAATGTTGCTCAGATGGCTGTCAGATTTGCCAACATTTCTCTCGTGCGGTTTTGTACTGTACAACACTTACATCTCCTGTTCTCCTTCCCTCTCTTTTAGCCGCAGTTATCTTCCTTGTAGCCATTCTTTCTTTCACCTTTACTCTGAAATGGCGAATCTTTCTTGATTCACACCTTCGTTTTATTGAAACTCTCTCCCTCTCTCTATGTGGTCTGAAGGAGTGGGGCTACCATAATATGGGGCAGAGCCATAGCTACAACAGAGGGCAGAGTCCCAGCTATACTCCAGGAACTAGGGGGAGAGGAGAAGGGGGGCAAAGGGGGGAGAGGGGACAGGGGAGATATGGCGGCCATGTTAGTGACAGTGGTGGCTCGTGGAGAGACATGGGTAGTGGTGGAAGAGGAGGAGGAGGAAGGGAGAGAGATGCACCTGTGAGGATTATCGTCAAGAACCCACGGACAACTGTTTCACCCAATGCAGCTGGTTAGCCAACAAAACTATCTCACGTGTTCAAGTCTTACACTACAGTGAATCCTTGGTATATCATACTAGAACGGTGCGTGGTTTATGAAGGGAACGTGAGTGCGAAATTTCAGTGGAGTTATGTTGTACATGTATTTAGAATGTATTGAGGAAGTCCCCGACCGTCAGATAGTTTATACATATACAAAAATCGCACAATTCAGATGCCTACGTAGGCTTGCTTTGCTTGTCACGTATGTCATATACCTTCTTTATATCTCTCCCCCCCAATTTTCAACAGGTGTACAAATTCCACACTCTGGAAGCTCAGACTCGAAACCAAAACGCGTTTCTCCGTCACCCGCTAAACCACCCCAGCAGCAACACCCTCACCGCACGAGACAACAGAAGATCAACAGAATTGGCGGGAATTGGCGGGAAAGAAGATGGGTTTGCAGCTGCACTGAGTGCGCTGGAGAAACTAGAAGTTGCTCCCTCGCTGGAGACTACTTCCTCTTTGTCCAACGCCACTGACACCACCTCTGAGCGGAAGGGTGGAAGCAGTAGTGGAGTAGACCAACGAGAACTGTCTCCTCGGTTGCAGCCATGTTTGACTCAATCGCTGCGGCAACAACAACAACCGGTAACCAAACCAAACCCGAAACATCTGTTTCTGAAGCACCGACTTCAGTGAGCGAGGAACCAGTTGCCAAAGCCGGGCTCAGCCCCACTCTCAGGGCCATGCTCAAGATGGAAGAAGAAGAAGAAAGTCGAGACTTTGTCAACCGAGCACGACAACCAAGCAGCTCGGCAGGGATCAGGGATGCCGGATGTAATTCAGAAACTGATGCATCATCCTCGCGGTCCGCTGCTTCCACGACCTGGTCAGCCATTTCAACAACCCATGCCTCCTCCTCCTCTTCCTCGCTCACCTTTCCCTCCTCATCATCACTATCACTACCAGCAGCAGCAGCACAGTGTGCACTTTGTTCATTCGCCCAGAGGTGAGGCCAATAATGATTGCGACACTCAAGAGAAGACCGCAGTTTACAATACAAGCCTGTGCTCAAACTGACCCAAGGGGGAAAAGAGGAGGGGAAAACCCCTGTGTTTGGTCACTTAACTCCCCGCCCTCTCCCCTAAATGAACCCCTGCAAGCCAAAACAGTAGACTTTACCATACTGTTCTCTAGTCTCGGTACCCAGACTCTGCATGATAGCAGGAGGGCAGTGCTAGGCTTGGGTGGAAGTCTCTCTGTAGGTCGGAATGCTGGCATACCAATAATTACCAGTTACGACATTGTTTGACGCTCCTTCTGCACGTGTGTGTGCAAGTTTTCAAGGATATTATTATAGAGATGGCGATGTACATAGGGCAGTACCAGCTCTATACTGGCATCAGCCCTATGTATAAGGTCTGGGTGTACCGGAGGCTGCTGTCCACTACCATACAATACATTATCACTACCCTTTCCTGGCCTTTATACTATACATACTCTCTTTAGGAAGTTTCTCTCCACATTCTTATATATACCTCAAAGTCTCAACTGTGACACTGTGGTGATTTTTATGTATAGCTTTGTGTCTGATTATCTTGTCTTTGTTAGTCTCCATGCAAAAGTTGGTGGTAGCTTTGCCAATAATTTTTCTAATACTTGCCAATCAACTTGTCTTTGCTGAATTTTACAAAGGCCACCCTCAAAATGTCTGCAAATATTCCTGTAATGAGTCCTCAGCCCGAAAGGAAAGATAATAGTACAGCTATATACACTGTTGCCTACCCTACCGTTCCTCTACTCTACCCTCTGCTGTATGTGTTTGTATATTTACAGGAGCCTATTCTTCTCCTCCACCTCCTCCACTGATGCCCTTCGGACCTCCAGCAATGGAGTAAGTTGAACTTCTTTCTCTCTCCCTCTCTCCCGTCTTCATTCTTTTCTCTCCCCTCCATAATAGATACACATACACAGATTGTGCAATAGCCATGAATTTAAACAGTTTTCAATTTCTCTTTTTCCCCACAGTCCATTCTCAGTTCTCCAGCAGACTTGTCACATGACAGGTCAGCCTCCGCCACAAGTCACCGTCAGGAAAACTGACCAGGTCTCTACATAATTATATCTACCAGATAGTGTACATGTATATCCTATACCAATACTTAGTCTTATGAGGGTCCACACACCATGAAAATAGCCTTATAAGAGCAACTGACCATGCCGAATGCTTGCCAGAGAATGCGGAAAGGATGGCTGAAGTTTTCGTACTTTTAGCAAGCGTGCGAGGAAAAGTACAGACTGACTATAGTTCTTCCAAATTACTTGTACTATAACAGGAGAGTGCAGTTCAATCTCAAATCTTCCTTAATAACCTTCGGGTGTGGAAATGTGGTGGCGTAAAGAACCAACAGATTATCTTGACTGTAGCTTATATAAGAGGTATATACATAGGGTGGAGCACTGGCCTACCAATACTAAATACGACTATAGCTGGAGTGCAATGCAAATCACTCACAGGTTACTGCGGAAGCTCGAAGCTCACCCTTTCCTCTCTGTTTCTCGTATAGGGCTACTATGTGGGAGTGGTGAGTCTGGGGGAGACAAAGTGTAGCGGAGTGCCGTGTGAGACTCAGGAGGACGCGAGACAGAGTGCTGCAGCTACCATGAACAGCTCCTTGACTGTGAGTCAAAGAGGAGCCTTAGAGCAACTACATACACATACACGGTTCTAGTCTCATGCGTCTTCAATGTATGATTATGATGGGTGGGCTCAATATCATTTTAGCTACAGTGAAACCGTGTTAAACCCCAGCCTCTGAAATGTTACCAACTTGACTTAACACCACAGTGTGGAGGAGGCACACCCTGCAATTTAAAATCAAAAACCGTTTCCACATCAAATGGCCTGTTTCTTGTCTTTCTCTCCGCATTTATAGTGTGCTACATGCTTTTGTATTTCCTCAGCCAATTCCGATGTATCTTCCGATGCCATACATGAGGCCTCCACCAATGCACTCGCCCTACAATGGTCCCCCACCCCTCCCCCATCACGTTCCACCGTACCACCAGCAGGTGCCACTAGCCTACCACCCCAGGGGACCACAGCCACCACAAATTGCTCCACCACCATTTGTACCACTTCAAGTGAGTGGCATTCTTTCATCTTTACTATGTACATGTGATATAGCAAGATAAGAGAGAAAAGTTTTTGAGTCAAATTTAGTGAAGACTGCTATAACTTTTTCCGGAGAGGGCCCATTTATTGCAGTAGAAGTTTATTTTACTAAACACAAGTGGTTTCTTCTACAGGAATGCGTAATAGAATAAAAACCGCATTTCTCACGTCGTTTTGTGCATTCCACACGTGAAAGTTGCAGATCAGCCTCACTCTCTTCCTGATTCCCAGGTGCAGCGTCGCCAACCAAGACAAAAGAAACGGCCGAGCTCGGGCGGGAAGGACAAGAACGTGAAACGAGAAAAACCGGTCGAGCAAGAACCGTTGCCAAGCCATGCACCGACCGCCGTTTCTGCACCCATCACAGACGACGAAAAAGTTGTGGAGCGAGCAAAACTAGGGCTACAGGGACAACGCTCAACCGCGCCACCTGATGAAGGAGCCACAGCACTAACCCAAGAATCAGAGGGGGAGGGGGAGGGGGAGGAAAGAGGACAGGCAGAACATTCCGGAAGCATCGAAAATCGGATCGAGCATGTTGAAATGGTTATCGAGGCAGCAGAAAAGGACAGGATGGAAGCCCAGGAGAAAATTGCTAGCCTGAAACAGACGTTGTCTGTGGTACAGAAGCCTATAGTTCAAATGGAGGGAACTGGTGGAGAAGGGGGGGTAGGTGACATGGTGGCAAATGCAGCTATTTTGAGTGCTTTGGAAGTGGAGGTGGAAGACGATAGCGGTACCTACGTGGTTGCAGAACAGCCTAGTGATGCGGCAGTGGTACCCGATGGTGGGGGGGAAGGGGTAGTGGTCCATGTGGTTGGCGAGATTTTGAGTGTAGGTGGGGGTGGGGGTGGGGGTGCTGAACCAACCGCAGACCAAAGTGAGCCAGACGTCTCCACGGTGGTCCAGAGTGGTACGAATACCACTCCACCGGCACACGGTGTTGTTACCGCCGACAGTCCACGAGTACCGAACCAAGCAAACGTGGACCAGACTGTGCAAACAAGCTCCAGCACCGAAGCTTCCCCTGCCTCTACAGTGCCCAGTACGGCTGTCAAAATGGGCCGACAAAAGCGACAGTTGGCGGCAAGCTTTTCGAGGAGTACTTCCTAGTCTTCTGCTCACCTATGTATATAGCTGAACACTGGTCTCACTTTCCTCTCTGTGCACAATTGAACAGTCTCACATTATTCCTTATCTCTAAATCATTTATCTGTGTTGACTTGTACATGAAAATTATCGTTATTTTTGCACTAGCTCGAAGAACTTGTTAGGCGTTGACCTTGCTTTTGTCAATGCTAGTAGTGAATGAATCGCAGGGACATGAATGTGCATATTATAGGCAACACAACTATAATGTATATATTATATAGGTGGGACTCAAAACCATGTGACAGTTTTCTCTATTATACCACAGAGCTACCAGGCAGCTCATCAGTAGGCTGGGCTCAGATTTTCCTTTGTATAGTCAGATCAATGTTTCTGTATATCTAACATTGGCTGTATTTTTACCCTCGGCGCGCATGCGCAGCGAGGGTACTGCAGTTGGGTTTGTCTGTCTGTCTGTTAATCTCAATCTCACTTCTCGAATGTCTGTTCGTCTCACAAACGATACAACCTACTTAACCGGCAATGAAGGTCAGAAATTTCGAACGGTTTTCTCTGAAAATGCTCCGTTGTTAAGCTAGAGCGCTTCCAGCATTGTATGGCAAATGCCTGTAGTCGCCATTTTATCGCTGGCGGCCTAATGCGCATGCGCTTATATTTAGCACAGGACCGGGTCCGCTTGCTCTGTCTATCTTGAAGGCACAAGAAGTCACAACGAGTGTCGTGTATCGACTATCGCGTGCTATCTACAACTGTAGCTAGCCCGCGTCAGACTCTCTGCGAGCTACTTCGCCGAGGGTTTGCACTTTAGTGCTTTTCATTTACACTGTTCCCATTCACGTAATGGTGGTGGTCTGATGGATAAGCAGCCCCTCTCTTGATCGTGAGGTCCCTGGTTCGATCCCGGGTGTGTACGCCTTTTTTACAATGATGTAATAGGAGTGTTGGTATATATGGAACGTTTTTTCATTACCTCTCCAGGCCAGCCTGAGTGGCTAGGTGGTTAGAGTCGTGGGGACTGACACCATAGGTGCGGGGTTCGTATCCCGATCCCGCACTGAAAGTGTCAGGTGGTCCAGAGCATTGGCTGGGAACAGCTCTGGTTCCTCCCCTTACCCACAAATCTACCACTGACCCATGTTTCTCAAAGGGCAGCGTACAGTTCGGCATAGCACTGCGTCCTAGACGTCTGTCTGGAGAGATGAAGGGCTGGCCGTTTTTTAACTTTTTTTCAACCTTAGATTTTTTTTGCACTAAACAATCCACAGGTAATACGAAAATGAATAGAGAGATGAAAGCTTGGCAATTTTTCAACCTTGTAATATTTTTTGGGTCTCAACCTATATGAAATAGTGCTGTTCTGGTCAAGACCATCAATTGTGGTGGTGCCACACTTGTGTATGGGTTCCACAGTGTGCCGAGGGTTTGCACTTTAGTGCTTTTCATTATTCATGTATAAGCAGCAGGTGAGCATTACAATGAAAGAAGTGAGAACGTGTGTTAAAAGGAACACTAGTTGTAAGCTACACACACAACCAAACAACACGTCACACTCTTCTGTCCTCCAGCTCGAGATTTCTCTCCACCAACCAGCTCGCTGCTCTGTCGATTTTTCCCTGGCAGTGTTTCAGTGCCCGCCGACAGTCACTCGAGTCAGTCTGCGGCATCCGCATCCCGAGCAAAATTTGCACTTGTATTTCTTCGCGTGCCTGCTCAATGTCAAAGCTGTGTGACTCGAGCGCACGGCGACAAAGTTCGACGCCAGCGTCGGGAAATTCTTTCGCCAGAGTGTTTTCGATATGGGGTTGCGGTGGCGGAGTTTTGCTGCCGTTGGCTTCTGTTTGTTTGTGAGTGGGTGACATGTACGTTCTGTCGGGTATCGGCGGTGGATCACCGGGCAGCAGCGGTTCCAAATCTTCGGGTTTTGTAGGTAATGTCGGAGGGTTTTCAGGGAGCGAAGCATTTTCAACTTCGTCTGCGAGTCTACTAATGTCAATGTCTCTTTGGAGGGAGAGCTTGCGTGGAGGGTTTTCTGGGAGGTTTGGAGCGGCCATTGACGATGATCTTTGAACACAGACGTCTTTTCGTGGCTTTGGTCTTGGTCTTTCATTCGACGGACTCATTGACTGGAAACCTTCCCTACCTCCCATTGCTCTCATGTCATCATGAAACCTCGGTAGTTCGTTGCCCGCCGGAGCATTTGATGTTGAGGATGATGACGACGGTATCACAGTCGGTAGAAACCTGATGCCGGTCGGGCTAATAGCACCAGTGGGCGTATCAGCGAGGAATTGTTCCGACGCCTGCGAAGCCAAGTTAGTGGCGACGCTGTACTGCGAAATCACGGCGGACAAATCGAGGTCTCTTGTTCCCGGCGCTTGCTCTGAAGCCACCACACCTTGCCCTCGAGGAGGGAGGGAAAATTGGTTTCGTCTCGAGCCAGAGCTACCGGGACGACTACCCTCGCCGGAACTGGAATCTGACGGGATCATTGTACGGCTCCGCGGATGTGGAACGGAATAGAAATCAACATCTGCATCGTCATCGTGCATGATGTTTTCGTACATGGAGGAACGTTTGGGTGTCTCGGCCTGCATGGATGGCTGCATGTCAATGTAGTCGTCTCTATCCTGCGGTGCAACCATGGTAGCCCCTCTTCTCATAGTAACATACTGGTCATTAGCTATCATATCCTCCTCGTCTACTCTGACATTTGAAAGAGGGTGGGTAGGACTTCCAACTCTTTCGCCGCTACCACTAGAAAGCGTCGGAGAAATCCCCTCGGCATAATGGGCGTCGGTTACAGTCGACACGCCCGCCGCTCCGCCCTGTGGTCTCTGTTTGACGGTGGGGCTGTGTCCCGGGCTCTTCACGACTTTGAACGGTGGAGAATGCAGTGGCGAGCGGCGACCCACGATTCCCTGGTTGCTGGAGTGTACATATGTGGGTATAAAAACCACACAGATCATAAAACTGAAAGAAACTGCATGATAACAATCAACGGGGGGGAAATTCCCACCTTTTCCTGTGAATTTTGTACTACATACTTAACAAGCAATCGACTTAAGGTTTTCGAAATTCTCATTTGCTACCTAACTTCCTGTAGGCGAAATGCATCTAATAGCAAACGTGTTTCACCAAAAAGACTTCCTGCTATAACTCTATAAAATGCCCACCTGGTAAGCTCCTTCTCTGTCTCGCCCCATTTCTCTCCATTCTTCCCCCAGTGTAGCTCGTGACTGACTTGCGTCGGACCACTGATTGGTAGCTGCTCAACTTTGGCCTTCCCCGACTGGATCCTACCCTTGATGTCACCAATCGGATCGATGGAAGTTGTCACATGATCCTCCAGGAAGTAGCCTATCCTCCCGTTCATCAGCATTCCATACATCCATCCTTGTTTTGGCCTGTAGTGGGGAGAGGAATGCAAATCCATTTACAGTGAACATCACATATAAAGGAAACACCTGAAATCCTTTCCTTACCCCGAGAACAGATCAATAAGGACACCTCACTATCCCAAAATAGCTCATAGTGAACCCCTCACCCCTGAAATGAGGACACCTCTTAACAATTTCCTTCCTTCCTTCCTTGCATGCATATCTATCTATGACACCTCACTACTTCATCTAGATGGTAGTCATTAGCCCAAGCATGCATGCAGAGGTATGTATGTATAGCTATCCCATTCACTTTGAGGAAGCCTTTCATTTGTGTAGGCGTCCTCTCTTCCGGTAGAGGAGGGTTCCACTGTATAATTATGGTAAGTTACTCTTAGGAAAAAATGGTTGTATAACTGACTTGTTGATGAGAAAGAGAATATCTCCTTTGTGGAAAGACAGGCAGTTGTTGTCCGTGTCAGCAGCCACCGCATGTGTATTGATGGCTCGTAGCTTCGTGGGTTGATTCTGTGCACGGCAGAAGAAAGAGAAACAGAGTAAAAACAATCACACAAAAAAAGAGGGATGGTACTCATAAATGAACGGGATACATCCCTATAAACAGTGCCAATTTCTGTATACTTGTGACACATACATATACGAAATACAAGAATGGCCATAGAACCCATCCTTCTACATACGTATATGCTGTATGTGCATGCACACGGTCTAGTGTGACAGCATTAAGTCAGATGACTTGGTGGGGCTCAGCATTAAGTACTGTAATTGAGATGACTTGGTGGGGCTCAGCATTAAGTACTGTAACTGAGATGACTTGGTGGGGCTCAGCATTAAGTACTGTAACTGAGATGACTCGGTGGGGCTCACTTCCCTGCAAATAAACTCAGGTGATTCGGGAGTAATTTATCGTCTCCCAGCTCCCTGAACCAAGCCTCAATTTCAACTTGCCTGCTGTGCTGATTATACAGCTACGTCAGTGTGCTAATAGTCCCTTTGGTTCCTGGTTTTCCACGGCAGTCAAGACTCTCCAAGCGTTACTTTATCATGTGATGTTTTCCCATGCCAAAACCAAGTCGATCCGAGTATACACTGTGGTGAAACACGCGCCATCTACCACCCACTGCTACAATCTTTCACAGCAGGAATGGAGTACTACTGATCGTGCAAAACACAGAGTTCTCACACCCTGTGCTGTGATGGCAGTGGTCCCTTGCCAAAGAGTGACTATTGTACTGATAGCCATTACTCCCTGAACACTATTGCTACAATCATCTGGAGTAAAGTGCAAACACCATACTCGGTGATACAAATGGCTGTGGTCCCTTGCCAAAGAGTGAGTATTAAACTGATAGCCATTACTCCCTGAACACTATCGCTACAAATAATCTGGAGTAGAGTGCAACACCATACTCGAGTGATACAAATAGCTCTGGTCCCTTGACTTGAGCTATACTTACGTAATATCTACAGTACTACAGAGTACTTCACATGTGGCCCTAGTTACATGCCTCGTGGCACAGCCCCTTAGATGCACTGTGTCTTGTGCACCTTCAGTGTACAGGTATGATCGTAGTCAACTACACCTGTCAGTATAGTGGAACACTATCAAAGGAACCCCTCTAATCAAGTGCCCATTTAGTGAGGTGTCCGTACTTCATGGGCTAATTTGCATGCAAGAAGTGTTGGATTTCAAGGGTGTTCTTAGGAAGGAGGGTTCCACCGTAACGTGTACAGTAACAACGCACAGAGCAGGGCCTACATGCCAGCCAATACAGAGTCATACCCTCTTAAGTGTCTGATAGATGCTGGTGAAAGTGGGTCTGTCCTGCGGTCGGGCCTCCCAGCTGGAAGTCATCACGTGGTATATCTCCCGCGGGCATCGCTCGGGGCAACCCAGCCTCTCTCCCCGGACGAGACAGTCCCTGATTTCGATCGGGTTCAGCCCTTTCCACGGAATTTCTCCCAGCGAGTATATTTCCCAGAGGGTCACTGCGTAGCTCCATACGTCGGAGGCCGAGGAGAACTTTGCGTGAGTCAGAGCTTCCAGAGCAGTCCTGGGAGTAGTGTCATGTGTGTTTAGGCGAAGAAAGGGGTGGGGGTTGGATAAAAACAAGATGTGAATGAAATAACAACTGAAATGTGTTTTTTACATGTAATATCTTTTATTTTTGGGCTTCAAGTAAGCAAAACTCTTTGCTTTGTCTTGCCTTTCTACCTCGTTGTCAACACATGCACCTCGAGACGTATGTAGTGTGTAAAATCTTTTTCGTGCAAAAAAACATAATAAGTTCTCCAAATTTGAGAACGATTTTTTCTCTGCCAACCATACACTATAGATTCAGTGGTTGTAGCCGCAGAGAGTTGTGTTCTGTGTTCTGACCAGGATATGGGAATGCGGGACTGGAGATTGGAGAGATTGTAGATCCCAGTCTGCTCGTCCAGGATTCGGGCCATTCCAAAATCACTCAGCTTCAACTGTCGGGGAAAATAACGCCACTAATCTCAAGACAATAATAGTAGTACTAGGAATGTGCACGCGCATATTTTGCCTCGCGCCTGCCAGCCAATGCGTAAACAGTCCGACTGAGGCCGCTTGTGCGAGCGGTCTACTGACTGCGCGCGAAGCCAGACTCCGTACGAATCTGCGCGCACGGCGGAAGCTAGACTTCCTACGAATGACGGAAGTTACACTTCCTTTTGGTGACTAATTGACATTCCTAAGCGTGACTAATTGACGACGTACGTAGTACGCATATCGCGAGAATACAACCCGGAGTAGTTGCCTCACGCTAACGTGCTCAGCAATAATAATAATAGGCAAATGGCTTATACTGACTATGGTAAAGTAATTTTAAGCATTGAAATCAGTGGCCAGGACACCTCTCCAGGTGGAGGAGAGGACAAGGATAAGGATAAGGACATCTTTCTTACAGTTCTCGCATGCAATTTACCACACCACTAATCTCAAGACAATAATAGGACATGTAGTATAATAATAGGCAAATGGACTATACTGACTATGGTAAAGTAATTGAAATCAGTGGTACTAGGACACCTCTCCAATAAGGACACCTTTTTTTACCTAAAACAGTTCTCGCATGAAATTTTATAAGGACACATTGCTAACATGGACACTTTCTTCTGTCCTATTGTTTTGCGGATTAGGGGTAGCGACCCATAATGACACCTCTCTAATATAGACACTTTCTTCAGCTCCAGATTAGAGGGGTTCCACTGTAATATACTCTTGTATGTGGCTCACAAAGTCAACAGCACTCAGGAGGATATTTCTGGTGGCGAGGTCACGGTGGATGATCCTCTTTGCCTCGAGGTATTTCATGGCGTCTGCAATCTGAGTGGCGTAGGTGTGGAACAGCTCCAGGTTCTTGCTGGCTCCGTTCTTCCTCAGGAATGTGTGGAGATCACCGTAAGGAGCCAGTTCCTGTACCTGTGTTATTATAGTAGCAGAATACTTATTACAGTCACTCTTAGGTGTATAGAGCATGTGTAGCACCCGTACTGCATGTAGACTATATCATTACGTAATCTTACCGTGTCATTCATATAAAAAGTGTATGCATGTGGAAAATAATCAGATTTGAGACTCAGCCAGAGTCACGGAGAGAGATGAGCGTTGCCATGCGCAAGGCTGGTCGTGTCACACATGTGTGTGTGTGATTGTGTAACCATGGAGAAAAAGTGCATAACATCGCCTTGACACACATGGAAAATACGCAACACAAGTGTTTGGAGTGGAACCTCTCTAATCTAGACACCAATGGGACAGAATAAAGTGTCCATATTAGTCAAGTTTCCCTATTTTAGGGGTTGAAGTATGAGATGCAAGAATTGTCCTTGAGAAAGAAACGGTGTCCTTATTTAGAAAGGTGTCCTCATTTCAGGTGTCGTTAGAGAGGGTTCCACCAATCATCTCGGAGAACAACAAAAGCAGTTTCAAGCAAACAACAACAACAACAACAACAAGGTCAGTGGTGGCAAAGCGAAGGTGCACGACGTATTTAAAGTACGCACACATGCATGTATGATGTCAAGTTCACGCGGAGTACAGACAGAACGATGCTCATACATACATACATATCACTGTAGGCACAAGGAAAACAATCACCCTCTAAAAGTATGCTTTCACTGTTTACAATCCATATTTCAAAGTATACCCAAACGTACGCGTTTCACATGCATAAACAATCACGCCGTGCAAACGTGTAGCTGGGATAGCCTGGGAAGGCCTGGGAACCATAAGACTTAGTAAGTAATGAACTTGTTGGTATACTGTCTCGTTGCGCGTGGTGGCAGAAAATGTGGTAACGGACGGACGGAAGGGCGGAAGGACAGACACACTCACAAACAAAGTACAGCGCATGTCAGCCGAGGGTTAACAAGGTTGCCTAGCTGTCTCACCAGCATGAGAGGTGAGCTCAGAACGATGCCGTAGAGTTGTATGATGTGTGGATGGAGCAGTGCTCTCATGGACTGCGCCTCTTTGATGAACGTACTGTGAACCTCTTCCTTCCCATAGAGAGTTTTAACAGCCACCGACACCTACATATATAGACAGATAGAGGGAATACATTGCGATGTAAACAAACAGCCAAAGTGGTTTATCAAAGTGTGGCAAATTGCCTGAATGTCCCAAAATAGTGATAAAAGCAGGATTTTGCAAATGTGTGTCTTGTTCTGAAATACATTTCATGCCCAGGGGTCGTGCTGCAAAACTAATTGCTCCCTCCCTCCCCTCCCTCCCTCCCTCCCTCCCCTCACCGAGCCATGTTTATTAGACCAGGTTCCCTCAAACACAGCCCCGTGAGCTCCTTCCCCGAGCTTCTTCTCGTACTTTATGTCGTCCTTTGAAATGAGGGTGGCCTCCTGGGTGATTGGTTCGTTGGTAGGGAGCTGAACTTGGAGAAAGCTCTCAGGAACAGGGTCTCTGTCAAACGCCTTTGCCTTCCCTGCAATGGCTTTCTGCGGTAGGTGAAACGTATCAACATGTGAGTCCTCCAAAAGTGTAACACGCATAACTTGTGTAGCGTGTTTTTGTACTACGTTTACTGTATGTATGTGTCAACTACGAGGTACATACAGTCGAAAGGGAAAGGAACAACAAACAAGTCAACTACACTCAGGACAGGTCTTTGTTTCCAAGGGAAAAAAGAAGAACTGCGCTAGGTGGGATTCGAACCCACGACACTCTCTGCAGTCTAGGCGAGTGCTCTACCAATGTACGTACATACATAATACACACACTCGCTAATCTTAGGCATGCTAGCCGAGCAGTGGTTTATTGAGTGTATATAGTGCTAGTGTGCATGTGTTAAATAGAGATACTGCAGGTGCTCTGGGCACCTGCTCCCATTAACAAATTCTCCGTATATTGATACTAACGGCTACTATGCAAAGCTACAATGCGATGTACAAAGTCGCAGCCCTAGTTCTCCAGTCTCCACGCTGTTAGCTGTTTCTGGCGATGGCCAATCCTCAATACCACAGCTAGTGTGTAATTTGTTGCAAGCTGTGTAATAATGTCCATGAATCCAGTAGCTATCTACAAAACAGTACTGTAGATGCATTTTTAGTGAGCAAAGCGGCCTTAGAACAGTTGTACGTGATGCTCGCGCATGCACATGTCGTGACGCGGACTTGTTAGCCATTACTATAGGAAAAAGGCATAATGACTAGGTGGACTTATATACTTCACTGCAAATGACTTCCTTCATGGTTCACTAGGACTCACCAACTACATACACACTACATGCACTCAGTGTCACACAAAACGAAAATCCCAAGAGAGATAAGGTTACAAAAACCTTTTGTTTTTGTAACAGAATTTTCGAGAAAAACCACCGAAACTGGTTTATACTATACACAGATAGTGCACATTACTTACGTCAACTGAGACACCCCCAGTAAGTATAGCAATATGCATACTGCAGCTTGCGTGTACACAAGTGTGAGTGAAAAGTGCCCCGGCCATATTATACACACACTACGCATTGCAATCTTGGCCACAACAAAACAAAATGTAGCTACGCCTTCCGTTATCAAAGAGAGGCTACGTTTTTGTGACACGTAAGCCTTCTAGATAAACATCTTAGATGTCCCTACAAAGTATGACAGGAAACTCGTTGGGATAGTTACGTTTTCATACATTATTATTTATCCCCAAGTTTTCAGGCACCATCCATACAGTACAATACACACAAAAAAACCAATCCACTGTTTTGCTAGGTCTTCTGTCGCCCTCCTGCAGTGCGTGAGTGTTGACGAGGGCGCTAGAATACGTTCATCATTTGGCAACGCCAGTGGAAAGCTGCCAAAACCCATAATTTCAGCTACTCCCACTTTTCAACAGAGATCTAGATCGCTTGGTGGTAAAACCATACATGCAGACCTACATAGAGGCATCAGCCACAAGAACCACTGTCTAGCAGCTAATGTAGCTAAGCACGCTCCAACAACGGCCTTTCAAGTGTAAAGGCACAGTAAAAACAGTATATACTGAGAAGTGGTGGCAAGACAAAATCTTTCCTTGACTGAAACACATTGGCTACTTTTACGATCTCTTTTATCGCCGGTGCTCTGCAGCCACCAAATCCGACAGTAGTTGTAGCTAAATCCCGTACCATAATCTTCCCCTTCTTGGAAAAGTTTTCCTCGAGCTTCTTTCGCAGGCGCGTCTTCTCCGGCGGAGTGAGTCCCACGGCGTCCAGGTCGGCGTCCGTGACGTCCTTGAAGTGGTTCAGCCGCAAGACGCCCATCTTCGAGAACCTCTGGTGGTACTTGTGCAAGTCGTAGTGCTGGAGAAAATTGTAGAAACGCTGCTGGTCCCGCCAGAGTTCGGGATCCGTGACGGTGCCGGCTTCCCAGGTCTTTCTCCCAGCCGAGGTTGCCATTTTGGTACGTGCGACCAGTAGCTACACTTCTTTGCTACGAGAATGCCAAGTGCGAGTGTAGGAAAACCCCTGGGAGGGACCGCCAAAGGTATGACGTCAAGCCAAGTCGCGCGAAATGAGCCACGCCCTCTCGCGCTAGATCCGTGCTCTATATAGCCTAATTGCGGTCTCGCTCGCTTCTATAAGCAGGTCGCTGGTCATTGTTTCACATCTACTCTCTAAAAGTACACAAGCTCACAAAGCGGTGAACAGTGAGCTTATTGCAGATCGTACTCTATACGATTCCGAGGGTGTACATAACGACATTCCTTATGCCAATCGCGCTTCCAAACGATCCCATAAAGGTGTATATATAAAACACCTTACAGCTACATAGAAACCAATTGCGACTTCATAAGATGCGGGCCGCCAGCGGGCTACGTCTCGCTTCGTGCGTTCTTCTTTTCGTTATTCTGCAGCTCGGACAAGCTGCAGCGTCGCAGGAGAAAGCTCCTCTACGCATCCTATCACTCCTAACAGACCCTGCATCGCAAGAAGCGCTGAACAATACGGCCAGTCTCCTGGCTATAGTGAGAACTGCAGTGAAACACGTAAACGAGAGACGGGGGCTGTTGGACGGATACGAGTTGAAAGTAGCTGCAGAAGACGGAGGTTGCGACGCCACAACGTCTACCGTACGCGTCAGTTTCGTAACGCAAGTCTTCGGACGCAGAGGAAAGGATTCAGGTGAGGTAGTGGGGGTTGTGGGCCCATTGTGCCAGGAGAGTGCACAGGCGGTAGCTGAACTAGCGGACCGACCACAAATTTCCATTAATAACATTCACCTGGCCTCCTCCTTCTCAACGGATACCAATCAGAGAAACTTCTCTTTCAGTATGCTGGGGCCTGCATCAGATCTGCTTGCAGCTATTGTTGCCTTTACCCAACATGCTGGCTGGAAGAGAATCTACGTTCTATACGAATCACAGAGTTTATTTTACGACCAACTCTACAGGAATGTTCTGGCCAATGTCGAGGGAGTTGTGTCAGAGACGGAGGTGTTAGGTGTCTCTTATGATAATATGGGCACAATCCTTGATGCCTTATCCGCCATACAAAGCTCTGGATACAGAGTGATATTTCTGCTGACTGGCGAGCAGCTTGCTTCACATGTGCTATGCGTCTCAGATGCCAACGGACTAACCTTTCCAAACTATCAGTTTGTACTAGTGGGAGGTAGTGTACCAGGTATTCAAAGTGGAATGAGGAAGGAAACCTGCCACTTTAGATTCACTGGGACTCTTCTGATTTACCATAAAACTGCATCATTACAAACACATCCAGACTACACTTCAGAGAGTGAGAGTGAGGCTGTTTCATCTGCAGCTTTTATGGGACCATTACTCTACGATTCAGTATGGGCATTGGCACTTGCTCTAAACAACTCAATCGAAACACTGGAGAATATGGGACTCACCCTTGCAGACTACAGGTATGGCATGCCGGAAGCCAGCAAGATTATTGAGGAAGAGCTCTTTCAACTACAGTTTCGGGGAGTTTCGGGTGAGATTGATTTTAAGAGAGAGAATGGGTTCTCGAGGCGCCGCGTTGAAGTCAGACAAGTTGTTGGAGGAGAAGAGAGAGGAGCACTGTTTGCAGAGTACAGTTTTGGAAACTTCACTGTTTTAACCTCAAATGCAACATGGGAAATAATAGAGGACAGCTTCCCAAGATGGACCCCGGGAATACACATTGCTTGGAGCGTCGTGTTTTTCATGGCGTTGTTTGTTCATTTGACAGTACTCATTACTGTTCACATGGGACTGATAGTCTACAGAGACCAGAGCTGGGTGAAAGCAAGCAGCAACCGAATGAACCAGTTCAACATCGCTGGAAACTATCTCTTACTACTGGGGCTCTGCCTCCATAATATAATCCATACATTCATTGGCAAACTGGGCCACAAGGCAATAGGAGTAATTTGCCATATGATATGGCCTTGGGTGCTTTCTATCGGGACTACACTGGTAATCTGTTCACTTGCCCTCAAAACCTGGAGACTATATCGGATATTTGTCCACTACTTGAACCCTGGTAGAGTCATTTCTGACCTTGTTCTGTCCCTCTTTCTCTCTATACTAGTCGGAATAGACGTAATCATCGCTACAATTTGGACGGCTACAGATCCTATCACAGCAAAGGTAGAGTCAGAGACAATAACGGACAGAGACGGAAGGATACGCATTCGACAGTCCATTGTCTGCGTATCGGATAGCATCCAAATGTGGCTGGTCCTCATTATGCTGTACAAAATCCCTGCAGATTGGGCTGTTGCTTACACTCACGCTTCTGACGCGGAAGATAAACAACAAGAAGTACACAACGCTCAATTTGAGAATCATGTCCTATACTCTCTCCTTCACCGTCGGGTTCGGTGTTACCCTGTTTTATTTCCTCTTTTTCACTGCCGGTGACACAATTGCCGACGATATCGTGCTGAATTTGGTAGTTCACTCTCTCGTATTGCAAAACATTCTGCTGGTTTTTCTGCCCCCACTTATCCCAGCCCTGAAGGAAAGGTTTAAGACATCGTCCGGCACCTACAGCACATCCACTTGAGTAACAAAACAGTGAATCACTCTTTCTTTCTTTTCCTATATCAATATATACCTCCAGATTGATCTGTGTTTTCTTACCATAAAACTAAACGTGGCTGCCACCTTTCGGTTTTAATATACAATAATAAAATACAAAAATACAAATGTGTGCATAAGATAAATCAGCATAAATAATGATACACAAGGGATATGAACAAAATAGTGTGTCTCATACACCATTATATTGATAAGTACAGTGAGGATGAAGGTAGCGTCTGGTCTCGCTATTCCAGAACAGTGCAGCAGTACAAGTTGAAATCACGACGACAGTTGCGACGATCGACACGAGACCAATCAACCTACGTAACCAGATGAACACATCCGTCCACACCCATTGCTCAATGGCGGGCCACAGGATCAGAACAGCTGTAGTGGTTGTAGCAGGCTCGACCGTACCCAGCTGCAGGTGAGGTCTGAACGATGGCTCTGTCGGCGAATCGTTCCCCATGAGGGTACCGTGATGCCGCTCGAGGGACGCCGTGGACGGATACGGACTGGTGCTCTGAGCATTGTTCCAACCCATGAGGGGGTTGTTTTCGCCGTTAGCTATCGCCGCAGCAGTTTCAAAGCTGTCCAAGTCGGGAATCCTCGGAGACACTCTTGGGCTTTGGAATGGAGACCCCACCACCCCACCCCCCGTGGAATTAACAGAGACGTGGGTAGCTCTCTTTCGCAAGATCCACTTGTGCTTCAGTTTCAGATAGAGCAAATTGAGGGACCACCCCTGGAGAAACGTTAGGAGGATGACGTCGACAAATAGCCCAAAGAAGGTCATCCCTTTGTTCCGGACGTCTTCCTGGACCACTAGAGAGTAATAGACCAGCGAACACATCATGAGGAGGTTGAAGAAAAGCATGAATCCCTCGTAAATTAACTGAGTGAGCAAGCGGTTGAGCGATTCGTACTTCACCTTCTCCCAAGTTGAAAACGGTCGAAATCCGAGGTACTCTTTCTTTGAGAAGATCCAAATGTGCATTCGACGGACGACTTGCGACAGGCAGCAGATAATCAGTACAAACCAGATCCAAGTGCCCCAGTAGTACTCGGCGTAGGCCGTGGTGCACCGAACACCTTTGAAAAGTGTGCGCTGTTTGTGTCTACCGGTGTACGGGACCCGAGATAGTAAACAAAACCCATAAGGCTTCCGGAGAGACTGTACTCCCAACCAAAGCCCAGGAGCTGGAGCAGGTAGCCCTGAGGTGCCGTCCACGCTAGTCCACGCAGCGACATCCCCGAGAACTCGCGGATAAACCGGCGATCGTATGTCCAGTTCCCGTCCTCTTGTCGGCCCACCAACCAGTCATACACTCCAGAGCGACTGCATATCAGTTTTCGTGTGTGCATTTGAAACATAGCAAGAAGCTAGCGTATTTAATATGTCAGAGGTAAATAATGACACGACAAATGTGATTTTTTTTCACAGAGCTCAACCTTGCTTCTCTTGGGGGACATAAAGTGTGACTTAAAAAATAACGCGGCTAAGGCTTATTTCTGGACCTATATAGCCTACAAAATTGGCTAGCAAGGCACAGTCACACAGATGTCTGAATTACGTGATTTCCCCCAACAATTCTGCCCCACTTACAATGCCTTTCCGTGAACATTACGATTAGAGAAGTCCAAATCGCACTCATAGAGTTGCTTCCATTCACTCACCAAAAATGTGTTCAAGTATAATTATACTAGGAATGCGCACGCGCATATTTTGCCTCGCGTCTGCCAGCCAATGCGTAAACAGTCGGACTGAGGCCACTCGTGCGGCGCTCTACTGACTGCGCACGAAGCCAGACTTCCTACGAATGACGGAAGTTGACATTCCTAAAGCGTGACTAATTGACATTCTTAAACATGACCGACACGTACGTACGCATATCGCGAGAATACAACCCGGAGTAGTTGCCTCATGCTAACGCACTCGGCAACTAACGTAGTAGGAAAATAATGTGCCACACCTTCCATAATTGGTAGGGACGTCCCCAATATTCATGTAGGTCCCCCATCCAATGTACAGGCTGCACCAGGTCATTAGGAGCACAGTGACCGATGCTCGGAAATGCAAACCGAAAATCAGCTATGAAAGAGAAAGTTAGAGAAATACTTTACACAGGCAACTGAGAAAATTCTAGCAAAATCTCTGACAATCCCTACAATGAAATAAAGGTTAGGAGCCTCTACCAAAATAACGTAAAATGATAGCAAACAAATGCAACTTTCCCACGAAATTATTTTCTCCTCGTACATACAGTATTGGATACACACACAACGGTGTCTTTAGTATTATACAGCGTGTTTTCCTTCAGTCTTGTGTGTTGCACAGGCTGTAATTCTGTCTGTTCGTATCGCAAAGAAAATCTATGCTGCAGTACACATCACATGCTTCTGCCCTGCATTCCATATACACACATCTGAGGTCACCTTGGAGAAGGGTCATTGTGCAAGGTTACATAATAAACTCTTTATGTGGGTTGCAGCTGCACACCTGTCAGGTTAATTTATCCAGCTCAGGACATTAGACGGCAGCTATTTAGACACCTTCGCCAACCACAAGCAAGTGCTAAGTTCACATGACAAAAGACTGTACAAGTACTGTTTAGAGGCTACGCACAGAAGCAGCATAGCGAAGTTTGTTGGAGCTAAGCCACTATTTCCTCGTACTCACCACCACTACTCCAGTCGGGACAGCAAAGAGCAGGTTTTTGCAAATCTCCGCCGGCCAGTAGTCCAGACCCAGAGCGCCATCGTCCGTCGAGGAGTTTCCAGCGGGCGCCGCCTTCCTTAAGTCCACGTAGCCGCCGCGGCTCCGGTTCAGGAGCCCGCCCAAATGCGAGAAGAAGTGCAGGAACACCACCAGACAGACGGCCAGGGCGATGCTGACCGCCTGCATGCCGTAAGATCTCTGCACAGGCATCTCGAAACTCGTCTCTCTTGTGCTGCAAAGATATGCCACACCTACCTTCCAAAAGTAATTTTAGTGCGCATGCGCATAGATAAAAGGGCGTGTCGGTCCGGATTCTATTTGATGCCCACCAGAAACAAATTGGCGGCGCGAGCACACCTCCCCATTCACCCTTCTAAACCGGCGATCGCAATGGAAGCGACAGCTCACTGCAGTTGGTAAATGATCGTCGTCAAATCTGCCGGAAGACTGAGCTTCAGACGTGGCGATCGAGCAATTTTCTCACACCCGGTAGCTGTTTGTTTTCCTGATAACCGAGTTTTGCTGCGTTCAGTTTCTTTTCAGAAACACACAACTCTCCCCAACAAAGTATCAGGTATCCATATAGTCTCTTGGTACACAGCTAGTACATGTGCATTTTACCATACTATAAGTAAACGTCATGATATATAGCATCATTTAGTATGTATCTATGCATTCAATGACACTTGTTCACACATATACCTACTTCAATGCAGGTAAAGGTGGTCATCTTTTAAATTTAAAACCTGTCGCCCACAGCGAGGGAGTAAAACTTGGGTCGTTTGCTGTAGAAAGGATGGCCGATAATCGCTACTGCATTGAGTATGCCAAGACGGGGCGTAGTGGGTGCAAGAAATGCAAGTCGCAGCTCGAGAAAGGTGTAGCACGAATGGGCAAGATCACTCCTAACCCATTCAGCGACGATGGAGGGGAGATGAAAGTGTGGTACCACATGAGGTGCATGTTTGAGACCCTGAAGGTTAGTAATAGTGTGTGGAACTGATACTGACATCTCAGAAATTGTTCATTCTCACTAAATCATACGTATTGCAATGTCACGTTTTATATTGGTAGCCCGTAAAATTGTAGTGTACAGCTTTGCAGACTGATCTAACTCAAGGTGGACAGAAAGGCACAAAAGACTATTTTCTCTCCAAACAAAAAATCTTCAACAGAGTTCATAGCACACACGCAGCAATTTTACTTTTACCATTCTGCTATATTCACAATGATATGGTAATATCTGTATATTACCTTCTGTCACCCAAAGAATAATTATTTTAACCCCTTGTAATCCTCAATTAACTCTTCTTTTGACCCCAGAGAGCGAGGACGGCCAAGAAGATAGAGACGCCAGCCGACATTGAGGGGTTTCCGGACATGAAGGACGAGGAAAGGGACGAGATCAAGAAACTAATTGCAGAGTTTGACGTACCAAAACCGGCTCCCAAGACAGCCAAAGGCAAGGGAGGGAAGGCTGCTTCGAAAGCAGCTGGAGGAGCCACTCAAACTCTGCTGGCACCTCCTTCAAAACCCTCAACTTCAGGTTTGTAAAATAACAAGCATCATTATTTAGGATAAGGTGAAAATTTGATAATGCCCCGACAAAAATAATATAACCCATTGTACACAGTATATATATACGTGCTTCAGGAATTGGTCAATGACATTGCGAATAGTGTCTGCAAGTGTGACATTTGAGTAATCATGTTTCCATGGAAATTAGGGGCCTCCCCTAAGAAGATGATGTCATCGAGTGCCGCTGTCTCGTCTGACGACACCACTGACTATTGTACTACTGCTGGAGCCAGCGATACCAGTCCTGATAACCGGTTTAGCGAGTTCCGCAGGGTCTGTGGGAAGCTGGAAGTGGAGCCGAGTTACAATGCCAAGACAAAGATTGTGGCTGATTTCATCAAAAATGGCAGCACCGGAGGTATGCATTGACTGCTTTACTCTTGATTTACTCGTTGTGTGCAGTAATACATCAGGTACTGTGCATTAGTGTTTAACTCCCAAATGCAAAAAAGTGGCAAAAATTCAGGGTTAGGTACTGCATTTTTGTGTATCGAAGGTCCAAGGTCCTGGTTCTGCAACCGGTTTTCCATTTTCTACATACATATATATATCTGCTGTGCACATACTGTGAGTCAATATTTAAAACTAACACGGATATCTCTATGGAGGCTCTGGACACACGTGATTATGATTCTTTCTCCACAGATGGTTACACAGGGGATGTGTATCTGCTGGTGAAGCTCCTACTGCCAACTGCAGGCAAGAAGAGAGTCTACAACTTGCAGAGCAAGCAAATCGTCAAACTACTCAGTCAGGTTTGTACAAAAGAGATTGTGCTTTCCAACTGCTGATGTGTACACACACACAATGAAGATGGGTATAAAGCTAGAACTTTTCACAATATCTAAGTCAAATAATTATGACAAACAATTCAGCAGTCCTCATCAGTGGTGATATATTATATATATAGTGACAGGTTGCAGGCCCGTTTTTATGCATGATTTCATTTTGTGCAGGTGTACCGGTGCAGCGTGGAAGAGATGGTCGAAGATCTCGATAATGGAGACGTCGCCGAAACAGCCAAGAAGTTCTTTTTGGAGAGCACCCACCTGCCACCTCAGTCCACCAGCACACTCACCTTGGCACAGGTATAAACATAAACTAGAATGAATGCAATGTGTATTATTAGTGAGAGCAGAGTGACCTTTGGACCGCTGTACGTACGTACGTGATGTTCGTGCATGTTCATTAGGCAGAGTCGTCATTGGTCGGTTGTTTTAAAGGATGTGGTTTCAATTCAACTATAGTGAAACCTGTGACTAAAGAACTAATTTAGTCAGAGGTTTCAGACATCCTTTATTCAAAGGACTCCCTTATTCTATAACAGTATTGGGCCGAACCAGGTTTAAAGAGAGGTGTGCTTTATTTGGAAGTCCTTTTCAGAGGTTCCACTGTGCATCCAGGGAGAACACTTTTTGATGCACTAGCCATGTGTTTACAATATTATGTGATTCATACATGTACTGCAGGTTGATAGTTTCCTTGATCAACTGACTCTTGTGACAAAAGAAGAAGATCAGAAAACAGAGCTTGCAAAAATCATCAGAAGGTACAAAAAAATTGTGTCATTGGTGGATTTATTGTGAACTAATGATTCTCACGTGTGTGTTAGATGTACAGCTGATGACTTGAAGTACATCATTCGTCTGATAAAACATGATCTTCGCATTAATGCTGGGCCTAAACACGTGTAAGTTGTGTAACAGACAAATGTTGCAGAGTGTGTACGTAAAATCACGGTTAACTTATACTTGGCGAGAGCAACGAGCGATCACCATACTATAATGGCATCTTGTGTAGTTCTAAGTGCATAACCGCTGAGTAGTTTTAACTCACAAATTGTGGGTTTGTATAAAATTACGAATTGCCTATCCCTGCTAATTTATCATAATTTCTGTTTATAGTATGGAAATCATAGTGCAGTCATATATTTCCTCTGCACACTCCATTGTACACATCTCACAGTCTCGATGCACTGGACCCGAACGCCTACGCAGCATTCCAGGCATCTCACGATCTGAAAGACATGGTGGACCGGATTCTGGGAGCTGGGGGTGAAGAGGAGGGGGGAGGAGGGGGGAGGCCGGGGATGAAGAAATCTCTCAGTATCAGAGCTACTGTAATGACTCCCGTGAAGCCCATGTTGGTGAGAAGAACTTCCTGACTGTGCATAGAAAGGTTTTTGGGTAGATTTACTGAAGCTGGGTTCAGTTCAATGCCCAAATATTGAATGTTTCCCAAATATTGAATGTTTCCCAAATATTGGATGTTTCCCCTAACAAGGTTGCAATGGTATAAAAATTAAGTTTTGCCATTCCACCCTCCAACTATACTCAAAGTATTAGGGATGGTTGGTTTGTCATTTCGTCTACTTGCGAGCCTGCAAAAAATGCAAAACCCTAAGGCCTCTCTCTTGAGGGGGTAATGGAGAAGGTTACCTGCTATCAGAGGGTATTTGTAAATTTCCATAGAGGCGAGATACAACCTTTTGCTATTCCACCCTCCAACTATAGTCAAAGTATTAGGGACGGTTGGTTTGTCATTACATTTACTCACGCGCCTGCAAAAAATGCAAAACTGTTCAAACCCTAAGGCATTTTGAGTAGGGTAAGGGAGAAAGTTACAAATTTCCATGCCAGATAATGTTCTATTCCGCCCTCCAACTATAGTCAAAGTATTGGGGATGGTCGGTTTGCTATTTCTTTTACTCCCGTGCCTGCAAAAAATGCGAAACCGTTCAAACCCTAAGGCATTTTGAGTAGGGTAAGGGAGAAAGTTACAAATTTCCATAGAGGCCAGATAATGTTGCTATTCCGCCCTCCAACTATAGTCAAAGTATTAGGGATGGTTGGTTTGCTATTTCTTTTACTCGCGTGCCTGCAAAAAATGCAAAACTGTTCAAACCCTAAGGCATTTTGAGTAGGGTAAGGGAGAAAGTTACAAATTTCCATAGAGGCCAGATAATGTTACTATGTCCGCCTCCACTATAGTCAAAGTATTGGGGATGGTTGGTTTGCTATTCTTTTACTCGCGTCGCTGCAAAAAGATGCAAACTGTTCAAACGCCTAAGGCATTTTGAGTGGCCGTGGGAAGGGAGAAAGGGAAGCACGGAAGGAAGACCAGGGGGAAGAAAGGGGAGGTGAACGAGGGGAAAAAAGGGAAGGAGACGGGGAGAACGAAGGAGAGGAGGGAGGAAAGGGAAAAGAAGGAGGAAGAGGAAAGAGCGGGGCGGAATAGGAGAGGTGGAAGAAATAAGGGGATAAGAGGGGGAAAGGGATGGGAAGAAGAGGCAGGAGAAGGGAGGATGAGGGGGGAAGGAGGAGAAAGAAGTGGGGTGCGTGGCTGATAGGGAGTAAACAAGCTAAGAAGGTAAGAAGAGAGTAGGTCGGGGGAGGAAGAGCAGAGAGAGATGGCGCCGAAAGAAAGAGGGAATGCGGAAAAGAAAAACGGAGAAGACGGAGACGGAGAAATCAAGGGAGGAGAG